TACAGTCCTGTATTTGTGTTGTAGATGTAGTGTAATGGTACTGTAACCTGCTGTAAGACATTGGTGAGCTGCGTGAGGCTACAGTACTGTATTTGTGTTGTAGATGTAGTGTAATGGTACTGTAACCTGCTGTAAGACAATGGTGAGCCGCGTGAGGCTACAGTACTGTAAGGTGATCCTTGTCACCTCCATGGTCTGGTTCCTCATCGATGTCTTCATCCTTATGTACTATACTGACTGTGCGGCCATGGGATCAGGCGCAGAATGCAAGGGAAAAAATGATAACCAGCCACGTATGGATGATAAACACCGGGGCAGTGATGAGGGGTTCCTAGGCAAGCTCCTACCTAAAGGTGAGAAAACATGTCGGCCTCCTACAGGTGTGATGTAATTAATTATAAAAAGTAATCAAAATTATGCAGTTCACGTCTAATTAGTTTCATAATATAATGCAATTAATATCATACATTGTATGTAAACAACAGTTATATTGCAGTATTGTTGAATATTTTGTTAATTATGATGCAGTGATGGTATATGTATATGACACTATTACGCACCAGGAGACAACCTACTATAAATCAACCATTCAATCCAACACTTCCGTAGGAAACACTTAATTGAATATTAAAATTTAGCATTGCAATAATGCACATTGATTTCCATATATGTGTTTTTTGACCTGATGTTTAAGTCTGTTATTATGTAACTTAAATCACAATTGCCCCGCCCCATATGTGTGGTCTTCATGCTGTCACAAAAAAGGAGCAAATTATTCTGAAAGTTTGACAAACAAGTTGTTCTTCACTGTAGTGTATCTTTTGTTACCATGCATACAGTTTTATATTATCATGTGTGCATCTCATTACCGTATTTATACTGTATTAATATGAATTTGATATCAATGAAGGCTATGGATTTTTATCGTATGATTAATAATTTAGATAATATAATATATGAAAATTATTCAACTGAAATTGATCAATTCGGTTTCTAAAACATTTAGACTGACAAACCATCTTAAATCTTAATTTACATGTATGTATATATATGTATATATGGCTACATCTATGATCTGGGGAAGAGGAAGTGATAATGATACCAACACCATGGTGTGAGGACCAATATTTTGATATATTTTAGATATTTAGGAAGCTATCACGGTACTAACAGCTCTCTGTAGATATATAGAGGTATGATTTGGTGTTTCAGGATTAATACAGCGACCTCCCACTGGCCCAGGGGAGATGGGCAAGGGTGTGGTCGTACCCTCTGACAGACAGAGCGAGGCCAAGGAAAAGTTTAAAATCAACCAGTTTAATCTGGTGGCCAGTGACATGATGTCACTCAACCGGTCTCTCCCTGACTACAGGATGGACGCGTAAGTTCGCATCACATAACATCTTTAGTGACCAGTGGAACAATGTTTCTCCACTGTCCTCTCCTGACTACAGGATAGACATGAAAGTTCACATCACATAACGTCTTTAGTGACCAGTGGAACAATGTTGCTCCGCTGTCCTCTCCTGACTACAGGATAGCCGTGAAAGTTCACATCACATACCGCCTTAAGTGACCAGTGGAACAATGTTTCTCTGCTGTCCTGTCCTGACTACAGGATAGACGTGAAAGTTCACATCACATAACGCCTTTAGTGACCAGTGGAATAATGTTTCTCTGCTGTCCTCTCCTGACTACAGGATAGACGTGAAAGTTCACATCACATAACGTCTTCAGTGACCAGTGGAACAATGTTTCCCTGCTGTCCTCTCCTGACTTCAGGATAGTCGTGAAAGTTCACATCACATAACGCCTTAAGTGCCCAGTGGAACAATGTTTCTCTGCTGTCCTCTCCTGACTTCAGGATGGACGTGAAAGTTCGCATCACGTAATGTCTTTAGTGACCAGTGGAGAAATGTTTCTCCGCTGTCCTCTCCTGACTACAGGATAGACGTGAAAGTTCACATCACATACGTCTTTAGTGACCAGTGGAACAATGTTTCTCCGCTGTCCTCTCCTGACTACAGGATAGACGTGAAAGTTCACATCACATAACGTCTTTAGTGACCAGTGGAAAAATGTTTCTCTGCTGTCCTCTCCTGACTACAGGATAGACGTGAAAGTTCACATCACATAACGCCTTTAGTGACCAGTGGAACAATGTTTCTCTGCTGTCCTCTCCTGACTACAGGATAGACGTGAAAGTTCACATCACATAACGTCTTTAGTGACCAGTGGAACAATGTTTCTCTGCTGTCCTCTCCTGACTACAGGATAGACGTGAAAGTTCACATCACATAACGCCTTTAGTGACCAGTGGAACAATGTTTCTCTGCTGTCCTCTCCTGACTACAGGATAGACGTGAAAGTTCACATCACATAACGTCTTTAGTGACCAGTGGAACAATGTTTCTCTGCTGTCCTCTCCTGACTACAGGATAGACGTGAAAGTTCACATCACATAACGTCTTTAGTGACCAGTGGAACAATGTTTCTCTGCTGTCCTCTCCTGACTACAGGATAGACGTGAAAGTTCACATCACATAACGTCTTTAGTGACCAGTGGAACAATGTTTCTCTGCTGTCCTCTCCTGACTACAGGATAGACGTGAAAGTTCACATCACATAACGTCTTTAGTGACCAGTGGAACAATGTTTCTCTGCTGTCCTCTCCTGACTACAGGATAGACGTGAAAGTTCACATCACATAACGTCTTTAGTGACCAGTGGAACAATGTTTCTCTGCTGTCCTCTCCTGACTACAGGATAGACGTGAAAGTTCACATCACATAACGTCTTTAGTGACCAGTGGAACAATGTTCTCTGCTGTCCTCTCCTGACTACAGGATAGACGTGAAAGTTCACATCACATAACGTCTTTAGTGACCAGTGAAACAATGTTTCTCCGCTGTCCTCTCCTGACTACAGGATAGACTTTTTAAGTACTTTTCATGGTGTCTTTCATAAATCTGCTGGTGTCAAACTGATCAATGCATTTATTTAGCTGAACTTTGAACCTTTCTCTATATTTGATACAATGATTAGAGACTATAAAAATGACTTTTGATCAAGTGACAATGTACATTTGTATATTACAGACTGTTGGTATCGTTGTAATGCAGACCTTATTAATTCAAAAGTTTTCCCCCTGTCTGATATTGCATTTCACCTTTATAATAATAATAGTTAAACATTGTTCATGTATGTTCATGATCAGGACAAAATATAGTTTTGACCGTTGATCGTGTGACATTTGTGATGTACAAGACATGTATACTTTGGGATCTCTGTGTAACTTTGGCCTTTGATCTTTGTATAATGCTGACCTCTAACCCTTTCCAGGTGTAAAAGGAAAAAGTATGCTCCAGTGGCTGACCTACCCACCACCAGTATAGTAATTGTGTTCCACAATGAGGCTTGGTCCACCCTCCTACGTACGGTACACAGTATCATCAACCGTTCACCACCTCGCCTCCTTAAGGAGATCATCTTGGTGGACGATGCCAGTGAGCGAGGTAAATACACACAATGGCTATAATAATATACATTTAATTTGTCAAATCCATGTTCAAGATCAGAGTTGAAAGAGTTGAGATTTTGATCAGTAATAACAAAGTTTTTGAAGTATTTTAGTTTACCTGAGGTTAATGGGTCAATATGGTCCCACCTATTGGATTTACACCCCAGTGAGTAGTGATAATGTGGTAGTTAAGTCATTGTGGATGCCCTACTGGATTGAAGCAGCCACTAGGTCTGTGGATGTAAGTAGGACAGTGTAAAAGAGTCAATGTGGATGCCCAACTGGATTGAAGCAGCCACTAGGTCTGTGGATGTAAGTAGGACAGTGTAAAAGCCACTCTGGTTGAAGGTACATAATATATTTATTGATGTCAATGTGAAGGTCACACATCCTGGAAAAGTTGTATGGTACATATTCTGTATAGAAGTGGTTTATTCAGTATTACTTGCTAACAAATGCTTATTGGCCTTGCAGAAGAACTTGGCAGGAAGCTTGAGAAGTATATAGCAACCTTGTCCGTAAGCACCAAGGTCATGAGATCAGAGGCGAGGAATGGACTGATCCGGGCAAGACTAACAGGTATACAATTTATCTAGCTATGATCAAGAGGGTGTCTCTTCAATTCTGTAGTTATCTTATTTTTTTTTATGAAAAGTACCGGTTACCCATAATAAAAATGTTTTTCTTTGCTTTCAAACATTTTCTTGCATGTTATCACTGATTTGTTATTATTTAAACAATGAAATCTCATGATGTTAACTACCCTCAGACATGCATCCATGCAGAACAAACGTTTTCATTATTAATCAGCTGTTCATGTTCTATAAGTTATACTCCACAGAGACCAAAATGGCTTTAATTCCACTAACATACAACTGTTGTGTGTGAATTAAGATTTTGTTTATGATAATTGAGTTATGAATAGGCTGTTCAATGTTGTTGGTTAATGGAGACATCATACACCTGTACAATGTTTTTAGGAGCGGCGGCTGCTAAGGGAGATGTAATAACATTCCTAGACGCTCATTGTGAGTGCACGGAGGGCTGGCTAGAGCCTCTTTTAGCCGAGATCCACAAGGACAGGTACACACTGTAAAACTTGTACAGTTGGATGATGAATTTATAGTTTTCCTGGTGTGGAGACATTTGTCAGGCTGATCAGTAATCTTAAGAACTGTTGATCTGTTTAATGATATAATTCTATTAACTGTTAGGGGTGGGGCTGTTTGATTCTCGGTGGGCCGGCTGCAGATTACTATAAAGTGTTTATTAAGATCATTCCGGTTTGGGTTTCACTCTTTACTTCCTGCAATGCAACATTATTGCAGTGAAAAAATTGAAGATAATTTAAAATTCATTAAATTGCCAAGTTCCTAGTTAAAATAAATTGGAAAGGAAATCTATTAGGGTGTTTTGTGATTACCATCTGAATGTTTGATTGTTGGCTTGATAACTTGTCGTATCTGTTGTAGGACATCTGTGGTGTGCCCTATCATTGATGTGATCAGTGATGATACCTTTGAGTATATCACAGGGTCGGACATGACATGGGGAGGCTTTAACTGGAAGCTCAACTTCAGATGGTATCCAGTTCCTCAGAGGGAACTGGACCGACGAAATGGAGACCGCAGTAACCCCACAAAGTATGGAAACCTTAAATTAATAAATGTTGCAAAATCTAATCTTTGTATAAATTTGAATCTTTACAAATTTTTAAAGTATGTAAACCTTAATTGTTACTTTATTTGAAGTCAAAATACTTTTATTGTTCTAAATACCTTCAGTTGGTAGTTGTACAAATTAATATGATTTGGAAAGCTAGAAATTTGAAACAACTGATATTTACATGAGACTAACACAACGAGAGACAACTCTTTATTTATCTAACATTCATTATTATACTAAAGACTGAATCAACTTAAGTTGTTATTTCCATGAATTAGCTGGTATTTAGGATGACTGTTTAGGATGACATTCATTATTATACTTAAGACTGAATCGACTTAAGTTGTTATTTCCATGAGTTAGCTGGTATTTAGGATGACTGTTTAGGATGACATTCATTATTATGCTAAAGACTGAATCAACTTAAGTTGTTATTTCCATGAGTTAGCTAGTATTTAGGATGACTGTTTTATACCTACAGAACCCCCACAATGGCCGGTGGACTATTCGCCATTGACAGAAGTTACTTCTATGAAGTTGGTTCCTATGATGAAGGCATGGATATATGGGGTGGGGAGAACTTGGAGATGTCCTTCCGAGTAAGTGTAAAAATAGAATGGGAAAAGTTGGGAGCTCCCCCTTCAGTGAAGGTGATATTCCGTCTTTGCGTATTGCAGAGTTATCTTCTCTTGTGAGCAGGTATTGATTGTTACGTCATTGGTTTGTGTGAGAAAATTACATTGTTTTCTCAAAAATTGAAGACGTTACTCTCACAAACAAATGATGTAACAATCAATACCTGTTCACAAGAGAAGATAACTCTGCAATATGCAAAGACGAAAAAACTTGGACTGGAAAATTTCGGAGGTTTGCTTTGGTGTAGGTGGTGTATGTCCTTCAGAGTAAGGGGACATATACAGAGGGAAAATGAGAGATGCTGAAAGGAATTATTTGTCATAATGAATAAACTTATAACATTTAAAAGAGTAAAAAGAGGACACATAAGCTACATATTCAGTTTGTATTGTACATGTATTAATAAGAAACCATTTGGTTTCTCTGATAGAAGTCACTGTACACTTGGTATTTTATGGTATTAATATATTATGATTTTCTCCTTACCCTCTCTATCCCTGCAGTACAGATTCCCTATGTGTTATATGTTTCTTCCACACCGTTCTCTCTACAGACCCAATGTATTCTCCCTGTGTGTTGTAGGTGTGGATGTGTGGGGGCCAGGTGTTTATTGTGACCTGCTCCAGGGTCGGACATGTGTTCAGAAAGACCTCGCCCTACTCCTGGCCAGGGGGCGTGGCACGTATTATCAACCATAACACACAGCGCATTGTAGAGGTGTGGATGGATGAATACAAAGAGTTCTTCTATAAAATAAATCCAGGTATAAGACTGATTTTCTCTTACTGAGATTGGTTTTCTCCTTTCTGCAGCAGACCAGCAAGGATCAAATGTCGGTGTCACTGTTGTTTAAAAATGACATAAAATTGAGTTTATCATTTCACTAGGTTTCTGGCCAAAAATTGATAATATTTTTCCTCTGCTTACTTTCTGAATACAAATTCAGCCAGTATTGAATTATTCCTATATTCTCTATTAGACTATTACCAGAAACATTTCCTTCTGTTTGTCAATTACATATTTCACCTTTGTTTCTTGATGCAAAAATTAAATGGGTGCAGCATTGTCCAGATTTAGGTATTCACACTGACCCATGGTTAGGTTTCCATCAATTCCTAATGCTGCAACTCTTATGGTCATTTCAGGAGAATTATAATTCGGAAAAAGAAGTTTTGCTCTATTAATATTGACAACTGTCACAAAAAAATTGTCTAAATGTTTTGTCTTCATATGTAATATCTTTGTTGAAGTCAAGCAGTTATTGGGGCCCGACATCGGAGATACCGGTACCCTTTAGTAATCACTGTATTTATCTGTTGGTCCGTTTGTCCAACTTTTGCTTATGGAGATAAACTATGAATTCAAAAGAATAATCTTTCTGAAATAAAGTGCTTTAAAAAAATAATAAGGTCAAAGTCAAGGTCACTGTTACTTAAAGTAGAACATGGGGGTTATTGTCCTTACCTCAGAATCCAAACGACTTATCAATTTGAACATAGTGATACACTGTGATATTTAGATGTGCAATAAAAATTTGAAAAGTTTCTTCAGTCAAGGTCACTTTCTAAAAATAGACCATAATAATAATAATGATTTGGGGTTCTAACATACCGCTTTATCACAACCTAGTACGTAGGTCATCTAAAAGCGGTTCACAAATTATTATCCGTGGGGGTAGTGTCAGGCACATAGAAGGGCCCTTGCTGACCTGTTAGTGTTCAAGTTTTCACTAGTCATAGATGAAGGATTATTTTCAAATGTAACAGTATTGAAAATTCATTTATAATTGGTATCCTCAAAAGATGAGTGTGTCACGTGGGACTAGTGAAATAAATCACAAGCTTGGTAGCAATCCAGCAAGTGTTAGAGTCCTGCATGTGCTGTAGTGAAGGATTGTATTCTATGTGCTGTGGTGAATGATTGTATTCTATGTGCTGTAGCGGTGAAGAGCACCAGTTATGGGGATGTGACAGCCAGAAAGGACATGAGGAAGAAGGCAAATTGTAAAAGTTTCCGCTGGTACCTGGAGAACGTGTATCCAGAGTCTCAGATGCCTGTGGACTACTTTGCACTGGGAGAGGTGAGGCCTGTCTTATTCATGCATACTCCACAATCCAACATATACTATCAAAGAGAACTCTTATGTTTCCTGTTTCGTTTTAAAGTAAGTGGTATTCCTCACGACAAACCAGGAAAACAATGCAGTAATCTATGATTATTTTGTGTTAAGCTTCTGTGAGATTTTCAGAAAGTGCCTGGAATGCCAACAGAAAGGATCTGTTGAAGAACACACGTCTTCTCTAACCCTACAAAGTAACATCAGTTTCCATTGATGTACGATTGGATATGCTTAAAAGATATATATATCATTAAAAAAGTGTACATGTTAAAACTTTTCATGTAAACTGTTCATTCAAACTACTACTTAGATTTAGAAGGATTTATTTTCATCATGTGTTTGTTTGGACAGATCCGTAACAAAGAGACGGGTCACTGTATAGACAGTATGGGAAGGAAGAGTGGGGAGAAAGTCGGCCTCGTCAACTGTCACGGCATGGGAGGCAACCAGGTAAGGCAGAAGAGCTTGTAAAGCAGGGGAGGCAGTTTAAGAAGAGAGTTAATAAAGTATTGGAGGTAGGATAGGCAGAAGATCAAGGCAGGTATGGAAAGTATCTCTTATAATGTAGTCAGGGAGTTAAACAAGGGAGTTAATTAAATAGAATAAGGGAGTCAATAATCTAATGTAAGGGGGGTGATGGAGCAAGGCGGGAAATAGGATAAAGCTAATGAAGTTAATACTACAGTGTAAGGGAGGTAATAGGCAAGACAGGAAAAAAGACAATGACATTCTTACTGACCCTAGCATTTAGTATAGGACTTGTACGTGGTAAAGGAGCAGTAGGGAATTGTTACAAGGCGTATGAGTGATTGAGGACTTGTACAGGGAAAGGAAGCAATACTCGTGTAAGTTTTAATAATATTCTGTTGTATTTGCTTTATGTACAGTATATGCATATTAATGTGTAAAATCAAGAAGAAGTATTGAAAAATCTGCAATAACTTTGAAATATTATGTTTAATTTTGAAGATCAAATTCTATATGCTTTTATGTTAATGACTTACAATGATTGTCATGAAAATTGAGTTAACTTTTGAATTCAGTTGAGCTTCTGAGAACCAGTCGGAAAGTTATTTACCAAAGCAAATTATTACTTGATTTACCATGACACACTTTCAGATATTTTCTTACACCAAAAAGAAAGCGTTACAAACAGATGACTTGTGTTTGGATGTGTCGTCCATTGGTGGGCCGGTAAAATTGTTTCAGTGTCATGGTCTGGGTGGCAACCAGCAGTGGGAATATAACGGACAGGTAACCATCTGTCGTTAACTGATCTTCACAGCCAGAGACTGACCAGTCATACCTACTGACCACATACACTGGAACGACATAGACAGCTCGTCAGGTTATCGGGATTGAGAAATCTTAGTTTTAATGATTATATTTGATCCATTTTTGATTTCTGAATAATCATTTTTTATTATATCATGCCAAATTATCAACTTTCCATCCTTTGTCCTATCTATAGATTTGTCACGTCCTTAAATGACAGAATTGTTAATTTAATGTTAAATCCTCAAAACCATCGATATTTGTGATGTGCAAATTAAAAGAATAATTTGTAAACTATAAAGCAAGTTACTTGAATTGAAGTAATTGACGGTATCCTGATATTTGTCTAGCTGAGTGCTGTCTTTGATAGATCTGGTGTGTGTGTGGACATGTGGTATCTGTGTCCTGGCTGGAGGTATTAATGAGGTTGTTTACAGGGCTGTGAGGCTGGCATGCTGTGGCCGGCCGTATTGTAGGTTTGCCCACTTCACAGTGGGCACTCCCACCACTCCATGTGTCCATAACGCTAAATCTGCATGTATTACCAGGTGTTTGCCTACACGGGCAAGCAGCAGATAATGACTGACGAAAACATCTGTATGGAGGCTGCGTACAATCAAGTAAAATTTGTGCGGTGTGACAGTGGAAAAGGGCGATGGAAATATGTGCGACAGGTAGTGTTGAATTGTAGCTTGTAACCTTGCTTATTGGGTGTAGTGTATCACGTCCTAACCCCCGCTCACCCAGCTGCACCCCGTCCCGGGGATTTTAGCCACTCTCTCTTCTCGTTTTGCTGTGTTCTGGATCAATCTCTCCCCCTTAAATAATCGTTGACCCCATTGACCTAGTTTGACCTATATCTAATAGTCCACTGTTCTTTGTATGTTACAGTATATTGCATTGAATTTCTGATACAGAATACACTGTACATGCTTATGGCTAACTTCATGTAGTGGTGCTTATTCTTTATATGTTAAGAATTGGAGAACATCCCTGCATATTCTTAAGATTTGTCATTTGTTTGGAAAGGAAACTGAAAAACAGAAAAAATATTGCTTATATTTGTACTAGATATCAAATTTCCTAATGTTAAAGACATACTATTTAAAAGATGGAGAACAAAGTTCTCTTTCCTTAAAATAGATTTTTTGAAACAGAGCAGCTTTAGTGTCTTTCAACAGAGGGGCTTGAGTGTAGGGACCCAAAATTAAGTCCTGAAAATGTTCTAGAAAATTATTGAGAATCACTCTGAAGTACAGTGAGGAGAGATTGGCTAGCTGCTAGGTGGAGGAAAGGCAAACTAACATGTTGGTGGAGGTGTAGACTAACACAGGTGGTAGTGAATGCTAACACACTCAGTATAGGCTAATAACATACCTATAGGTGTAGGCAAACACTCAGTATAGGCTAACATACCTATAGGTGTAGGTAAACACACTCAGTATAGGCCCACATACCTATAGGTGTAGGCTAACACACTCAGTATAGGCTAACATACCTATAGGTGTAGGCTAACACTGACATAAATATAGGCTAACATACCTATAGTTTTAGGCTAACACACTCAGTATAGGCGAACATACCTATAGGTGTAGGCTAACACTGACATAAATATAGGCTAACATACCTATAGGTGAAGGCTAACACACTCAGTATAGGCTAACATACCTATAGGTGTAGGCAAACACTGATGTAAATATAGGTTAACATATTTGAAATTGTAGGCTAACACTGATGTAAATAAAGGCTAACATTACTGTAAATGTGAGCTGACACTGATGTTAGTATATAGTTATATAGGTGTAGGTGCAGGCTAACACTTGTGTAAATATAGGCTAACATACATGAAGGTCAGGCTAACACTGGTGTAAATATAGGCTAACATACATGTACATGAAGTCTAACACTGATGTAAATATAGACTAACATTAATATTACTGTAAGTGAAGGCTAACACTGATAACAGTTTAGGCTAACATACTTGTAGGTGTAGGCTAACATTGATTAAGTATAGGCTAACATACTTGTAAGTGTAGGCTAACACTGATGAAAATATAGGCTAACATATTTGTAAGTGTAGGCTAACACTGATTTAAATATAAGCTAACATATTTGTAGGTGCTAACACTGATGTCAGTTAAGGTGAACATATTTGTAGGTGTAGGCTAACATTGATTAAGTATAGGCTAACATATTTTTAAGTGTGGGCTAACACTGATGTAAATATAGGCTAACATATTTGTAGGTGCTAACACTGATTAAGTTTAGGTTAACATATTTGTAATAGTAGGCTAACACTGATGTCATTTTAGGTTAACATATTTGTAGGTGTAGGCTAACACTGATGAAAGTGTAGGTTAACATATTTGTAGGTGTAGGCTAACATTGATTAAGTATAGGCTAACATATGTGTAGGTGCTAACACTGATTAAGTTTAGGTTAACATATTTGTAAGTGTAGGCTAACACTGATGTCAGTTTAGGTTAACATATTTGTAGGTGTAGGCTAACACTGATTAAGTTTAGGTAAACATATTTGTAGTTGTAGGCTAACATTGATGTCAGTTAAGGCTAACATTTGTAAGTGTAGGCAAACACTGATGTCGTTTTAGGCTAACATATTTGTAGGTGTAGGCTAACACTGATTAAGTATAGGCTAACATATTTGTAGGTGAAGGCTAACATTGATGTCAGTTTAGGTAAACATATTTGTAGGTGTGGGCTAACATTGATGTCAGTTTAGGTTAACATATTTGTAGGTGTAGGCTAACATTGATGTCAGTTTAGGGTAACATATTTGTAGGTGTAGGCTAACACTGATGTAAATATAGGCTAACATATTTGAAGGTGTAGGCTAACATTGATGTCAGTTTAGGTTGACATATTTGTAGGTGTAGGCTAACATTGATGTCAGTTTAGGTTAACATATTTGTAGGTGTAGGCTAACACTGATGTCAGTTTAGGCTAACATATTTGTAGGTGAAGGCTAACACTGATTAAGTATAGGCTAACATACTTGTAAGTGTAGGCTAACATTGATGTCAGTTTAGGTAAACATATTTGTAGGTGAAGGCTAACATTGATGTCAGTTTAGGTTAACATATTTGTAGGTGTAGGCTAACACTGATGTAAATATAGGCTAACATATTTGTAGGTGTAGGCTAACACTGATGTCAGTTTAGGTTAACATATTTCTAGGTGTAGGCTAACACTGATGTAAATATAGGCTAACATATTTGTAGGTGTAGGCTAACACTGATGTCAGTTTAGGCTAACATATTTGTAGTTGTAGGCTAACACTGATTAAGTAAAGGCTAACATACTTGTAAGTGTAGGCTAACACTGATGTCAGTTTAGGTAAACATATTTGTAGGTGTAGGCTTACATTGATGTCAGTTTAGGTTAACATATTTGTAGGTGTAGGCTAACATTTATGTCAGTTTAGGTTAACATATTTGTAGGGCTAGGCTAACACTGATTTTAATATAGGCTAACATATTTGTAGGTGTAGGTTAACACTGATGTCAGTTTAGGTTAACATATTTGTAGGTGGAGGCTAACATTGATGTCAATTTAGGTTAACATGTTTGTAGGTGTAGGCTAACACTGATGTAAATATTGGCTAACATATTTGTAGGTGTAGGCTAACACTGATGTCAGTTTAGGCTAACATATTTGTATGTGTAGGCTAACACTGATTAAGTATAGGCTAACATACTTGTAAGTGTAGGCTAACACTGATGTCAGTTTAGGTTAACATATTTGTAGGTTTAGGCTAACACTGATGTCAGTTTAGGTTAACATATTTGTAGGTGTAGTCTAACACTGATTAAGTATAGGCTAACATACTTGTAGGTGTAGGCTAACATTGATTAAGTATAGGCTAACATATTTGTAGGTGTAGGCTAACACTGATGTCAGTTTAGGCTAACATATTTGTAGGTGTAGGCTAACATTGATTAAGTATAGGCTAACATATTTGTAGGTGTAGGCTACCATTGATGTCAGTGTAGGTTAACATATTTGTAGGTGTAGGCTAACATTGATTAAGTATAGGCTAACATACTTCTAGGTGTAGGCTAACATTGATGTCAGTTTAGGTTAACATATTTGTAGGTGTAGGCTAACACTGATGTCAGATTAGGTTAACATACTTCTAGGTGTAGGTTAACACACATTTATAGGTTTAGATTAATGAACACGTTGGTATAGGCTGTTGTTGTATACAAGTATAGTTAAGCATAAGATAAAGATAACATGTACAGGTATATGTTAGTTCAGACTAAACCTGTGTGCCAAACTTATATAAAAGTCTTATGAGTAGGGACAGAACGATTCACTCAGAACAAATGAATAGTTGTTGTATGTTATATCTGTCCCGCAGCACATACAATACTGGTATACATTCATATTATAAAGTTTATTTATTTTATAACAATTATGAATCAAGTTATTTCAACTTCTATTAATCACTCTTATATACATAGTGGCTTGGTATAGACAAAGATGTATACAAGTTACATAATTACAAGCTAACCTAAATGTTTGTTAGACTAATATATATATAAGGTTAATACATACCCAGTATGTGTAGGTATAGTCTTACATGTATACCTGTGTGTAGATACAGACTAACCCATGTCAAGTCAAAGCTAACACATAATCAGATGTATCTGCTAACAAATGTTCTAAAGATAATTGTGTATTTGTGATAACCTTCTGGACATTTTTAAAATTTTGGTTATGACAGATTGACAACTATTTTGTTGAGAAAGTTGATGAGAAAATTTGAAGACGTTATATGTTAACAACAAACATGTGTATCAACTGTATGGGTGAATGTTGAAAGCTGTTTCTATGCCTCCATCTATTGTTATAACTGAAGAGTGTTATGTAATGTTTGTGTGAGGTATTCTTTGAAATATTTTAATCTCTGTAGAACTTTTTGAGTGGGACATTTGTAAAACCTTTTAACAGTTGTAGCTTTCTGATTTCTGATACCAAAAACAACAAATTCACCTGGGGTGTAAAATCATTGATAGACTGGAATTCACATGCTTGCTTTGAAACTAAAATTGATTTATATTTAAAAACAAAGATTTCTTTTTACATTAACAAAAACAAAAGTACAGCAATTACTGTTAGAGTTTGAATTTTAAAAACCTACTTACATGTATAAGATACCAGATGAAGCCTTCGTGATAGAGGCGAAACTAGCTAACCAAATAAAACCCTTCAAAACCCCTCATATTGGTAACGTTTGAGTATGTTGTGATATTAAGTCCCCCCTATTTATATTTAATTCCTCTTTAATCGCCCGGCATACCGCTTGGTATACATACTCATAGCAAAGTACCCAACTAACCAACCCAGATACCTTTACCTTCATTGGCTCTATACATACATAGTGTTATGTAGTTGTTATATTACCGATACACAGCAACAAGTTATATTAACTGCTATAGCGATAAATAGTTTCAGATGTCCATATGACGGTAAAAATATAAATAAAACAAAACACGAAGACTAGTATAATTGGCAATAGCATAGTATTATATACTATATATAAACTCTGATACAGTAGAAGTAGAGTGTAGCTGTAAGACAATATATAAAGTGTGACGTAGTTGTAACACTATAGGTAACGTAGAAACTTTCTGTTGAGACATTAACCAACGTGATCACTGCCTGCCACATTACTAAATCCCTACTTAACATATCTCTGACTTTCTCCTCATAGCTCACTTCGTATAGCCATGCAAATGTTCTTATAAAAGAACACCCTGTGGTTAAAGTGGACTAACGGATGATTATTTGATAAGGGATTTTTGTCCATATTAGGGAGGAGATATAACTTAATACCTCTAATTAGTAGAGATACGATTATGCCTACTACTAAGGGGAGATAACTGAGTACCAATTTATAAAGGGAGATCATTTTGTGTTTGTAACCAAGGGGGAGATAACTGTGTACGTTATTGAAGGGATATAACCCGCACCTGTTGACCATGGAGTGAAGATCACAGCATGCTGGCCGGCCTGGTGTATTGATGATGTTGATGCGTACAATTTCTCATGTTGCTTACTGTCAATCAAGTGTCAAGCCATTGATAGAACAAAAGCCATATTTCCAGAAGTATATTCACATACAATTCAGTTAATATTTTTTTAATGTGCCTTGTACACTTTCTATGATAAAAGAGGGCTTGTATATAGGCAATACTTTGTCACCCGTTTCCTTCAATATTTTAGATTCAGTAATGAGAAAAGAAAGCAAAAGTTGTGAAAAAAGTAGTTACCTGGAATGACATGAAGCGACATGTTATGTTACGTTGATACACTGTACAAGTGTTTGTCCCTCCTCCTCAGAAATTACTGGTAACAACTCATAGCTTTCCTACACTGTCTATAATTATATGTAGTCTCTTAACTCCTTAACCCTAACTTAATGGTTACAAAACATTCCAATAAAAGGAAAAAAAATTCTCCTTCATTGTTTTCTTTTTCTCAAATTGAACTAATTCAACATTTTCTGTGTTTGAACTTTTTTCTGCAATGTTTAACAGATAGTTTACCAAGATTTAGCCTGTCAAAATTCATTCTCACTTGATGAGCATGTATTATGATTTAGGCATGTCTCTTGTGCTTCTGCTCATGAACTTTCCTGTACACTGTAGGATTGCTTGTGTGTCCAGCCATGTAACTGAAATGAGGAGGGACATCTACATTGCTTCATTTTGTTGCCAAATCACATTTAATTAATAACGAGAATATAATTTGTGCATCATGATAGCAGTTTCAAACAAGATGGAGGCACTGCCTATTTGAGAGTTTTAAAGAGTGGAAGCATGGGATCACATTGAAATGTATATTATTTTACAAAAAAGTCTTTAATTCCTGATAACAGCATTCCTCATAATGACAATTGTGTTTCATATTGAGAAAAGTCCATATTATTGTATACATACCGGTATTTTTTTTGTCTCAATCAATTAAGATGTTTTTCTTTTATAATTGAAATTCTCAATCAATGTTTTGCTTGAAGGATTGAATCACTGTTATTCCTAGTTGGGAAGTTGCTGTCATGATGCTGGCACTACTATTGTTGAATCTTGACCAGATAGAATGTTGTGGTGTATCGTCAGACACCCACATGTCTTGTTGTGAATATCTTACTCGTTAGTATTTAACAAGCTGTTACGTGTTGTATTATACTTCTTAATTATCATCACCTGCAACCAAGTTTAAATAACATAACTTATGATAATCTGCTTTCACTTGTTTGAATAGTTTATCGTTAAAATGTGTTGATATTCTGGTATAAAATGTTTCTTTTGTCTTATCAATAGTAGCTGTTACAAGATGATCTTTGTCACCAGTTCCCTAAATTCATGGTTAAGGAGGCTCCACCCTTTCGCAATTAGCCAGCCGAATCCAATGGAAGTTTCACATAATGTTTATGTCACTATGTAGAGATGATGTTATAAAAATCTAAGCATTGTCATTGATAAATGAGAGTTGTCTCCCCTATTGGACAGTGTTCACACTTCCTGTTGGATGGTTATAGAAACAATAAAATTTCGAGTCGCAGCTTGACAACGGGACCAGTCGGCGACAAATTTGATAAGTACATTGTTTGTGTATAAAGTAACATTTTGATATTAAGTTCTAGTGTGACAGAGAAATCTCAGCCGTGAGGATTAGATTTCTTTATCACACCCTAAAGGCAGGGAAGGTGACATTAATTTCCAATTGTACAACTGTAAGTAGTGAGAGGTTTACGCCAGTATATAAGACTATATTATAGGTGTAGAGGTGTAATAGGAGAGTATTATATGTGATGTACTGTTTATGTTGATGTATTAAATGATTTGTTATTGTGTTTCAGTCATTGGAGCTGCGACACATCAATAGTAAACAGTGTTTAGGTGCTGCCAAGCCTTCGGACAGGGAGGCGCCAACTATTGGTAAGACGTTAAACCCATCCTGTTCCCTCCTTCCCTTCAAACCCAAACAAGAATCTTACTTTTCCTTTAAATTTTTAGTTTATAAGCTTACTTTACATTGTATTTGACAAGAGTTCAAGATAAAATTAATATTTTTGCCCTCTTGTAAGAAATTGTCGCATACATGTACATGTCAAAGTAGGTGACTTATTTTTAGGAAACATTGGTTTGTTATTTGTTTTACTTTATTTTCCAATGTAACTTGATTCTAAATATAATACAACAGTGTTATTTACAGTAATGTACATGCCTTGTGTATATTGTATCACAACCAAATATGTCTTATGTTTCAGGAGCATGTGATGGTAGTGCGACTCAAAAATGGATAATTAAAGACATGAAATGGTGATATAGGATGTAGTTTAGGATTTAATGTAAAGACATGTGATAAATAATAAAGCTTGTTATATCAATAACTGCCACACCAGTGAGAATGGAGACTCCAGACAGTGTTCACTGATGTGTGGTGCACTGCAATGTGTTCTTATTGATGATAATGACATCAATTATCAAACCAATACCTCGACCAACCCTGGAAAGGATCAGTGTCATTGGAGCAGCAGATGTCAATGTCATTGGGCAGGCCAATGTCGGTGTCATGTGGCAGGCCAGTGTCAGTGTCATGGAGCAGGCCAATGTCAGTGTCATGGGGCAGGCCAATGTCAGTGTCATGGGGCAAGCCAATGTCAGTGTCATGGGGCAGGCCAATGTCAGTGTCATGGGGCAGGCCAATGTTTCTGTCACAGGGCGCCGCCTATGCCAGTGTCATAGGGCACATTCAGTGTCATACGAGGCGGCCAATGTCGGTGTCACAGGGCACGGCAAATGTCACTGTCACGGGGCCCAGCTAATGTCATTGTCACAGGGCCCAGCCAGTGTATGTGTCACAGGGCCCAGTCAATGTCACTGTCACAGGGCATGGCCAATTTCACTGTCACAGGGTGCGGCCAATGTCACTGTCACGGGGCCCAGCTAATGTCATTGTCACAGGGCACAGCCAGTGTATGTGTCACAGGGCCCAGCCAATGTCACTGTCACAGGGCATGGGCAATGTTAGTATCACTGTCACCGGGCGCTGCCACTGTTGGTGTCACACGAGGTGGCGAACGTCACCGTCACAGGGCTTGGCCGATTTCACTGTCATAGGGCGTGGCCAGTGTATGTGTCTCAGGGCGAGGCCAATGTCACCGTCACCGGGCAAGGCCAATGTCAGTGTCACTGTCTTGGGGCGTGGCCAATGTAAGGATCACTGGGCGTGGCAGATATAGCAGTTGTTGGTTATGCTATGTATAAAAGGAAGAGCTATAGTTATGGATATATGCTACCTTACTTTTATTTGTCTCTCCCTTACAAAAAAGTTTCTCAATAAAATATGTTAACCCAGGTTATTTGTCAGTAATGATTCAGAAATTCTTAATTTATTAGCAACACATTAAAATGTACACTAAGATTGAATGCATTTGCTTGAAATTTTAGAACATGTTTAAGGGATTGAAGCAAAAATTATAATTTGTAAGGTAGCATATAAACTGAGACTGGTATGTTGGGAGCCTGCAAATGCATATAATAAGACATAGTGAGGTCAAAGCTAGTCATTATCCTACTTAATTATGTACTGAGTTATCTTTTACATAGTCCTAAGGTAGCAAGTCATTCACATCCTGTAACATATTATTGTAAGTTAACAATGAACTTATATGAATGGTGGCAAGTGTTACTGTGGCCGCTGTTCAACTAAGTATACCCATTTAGATCATTAGATGCTGCATATTTATGTTTTTATCAATTTTATTGTTGATTTATGATGATCAGAAACCATTCCGACAGTTCTGTAAAGCTTGACAATGACTGACCCTGGTCTGATCCAGTCTGTTTGAGGAGGTTTCAGGTCTCATCCAGCAGGTATCTGGTCAGTAAAAGAAGTATCTGTTCCAGGATGGATCTGGACAGTATTAGGGGGTCCAGAATTTAGCAGGTCTGTATTTGGGGGGTTAACTATTCCACAATTTAGCTTGTCTGTATTAGGGGGTATCTGTTTCATAATTAAGCTGGATAGTATTGGGGGGTATCGGTTCCAGAATTTACTAGGTCTGTATTCGGGGGTTATCTTTTCCATGATTTAGCTTGTCTGTATAAGGTGGTGTCTGTTCTATAATTTAGATAAACAGTATTAGAGAACATCTGTTCCACTATTCAGCAGGTCTGTATTAGGGGGTCTCTGTTCCACGCATTTGTTTGTTTGTAAAAGGGGATTATCTGTTCCATGATTTTCGCTGGTCTGTTCTAGGGGGTATTTGTTCCATGAGTTAGCTTGTTTGTATTTTGGCACATCTTTTCCGGGATTGATCTGGACTGAATTAGAGGGCATCTGTTCCAGGATTGATCTGTTCCACAATTCATCAGGTCTGTATTAGGGGATCTCTGTTCCACAATTCATCAGGTCTGTATTAGGGGATCTCTGTTCCACAATTCATCAGGTCTGTATTAGGGGATCTCTGTTCCACTATTCATCAGGTCTGTATTAGGGGATCTCTGTTCCACTATTCATCAGGTCTGTATTAGGGGATCTCTGTTCCACTATTCATCAGGTCTGTATTAGGGGATCTCTGTTCCACTATTCATCAGGTCTGTATTAGGGGATCTCTGTTCCACTATTTAGCAGGTCTGTATTAGGGGATGTCTGTTCCACAATTCATCAGGTCTGTATTAGGGGATCTCTGTTCCACAATTCATCAGGTCTGTATTAGGGGATCTCTGTTCCACAATTCATCAGGTCTGTATTAGGGGATCTCTGTTCCACTATTCATCAGGTCTGTATTAGGGGATCTCTGTTCCACTATTCATCAGGTCTGTATTAGGGGATCTCTGTTCCACTATTCATCAGGTCTGTATTGGTGGGGAGGGCAGTTCCAGGATTAAGCTGACTGTGTTTGGGGGTTGGGGGCGTCTGTTCCAGACAGTATCTAGTCAGTATTAGAGGGGTATCTGTTTCGTGATTATCTGGTCTGTATGAAGGCGATGGGGAAACTGTGTCGGATATCTGCTGCAGGAGGTATCTGGTCGGTCATATTTGTCATCAAATAGGGGCGGCTAGTTACCCTAGACTTGAGATCAGATTAGGGTCAGTCACCATAGATCTGATCTATGATCTGTGATCCTTGACCTGAGACTAGATTGTAGTCTATGACCCTTGACCTGAGATCAGATTGATGTCTATGACCCTTGACCTGAGATCAGATTGAAGTCTATGACCCTTGACCTGTGCTCAGATTGAGGTCTATGACCCTTGACCTGAGATCAGATTGTAGTCTATGACCCTTGACCTGAGATCATATTAGAGTCAGCCATCCTTGACCTGTGATCAGATTGAAGTCTATGACCCTTGACCTGAAATCAGATTAGAGTCGGCCATCCTTGACTAGAGGTCAGATTAGTTTGACATGAGATAAGACTGCAGTCCGTCATTGTTGACCTATGACCAGACTAGAAATGGTCAAACTTGACCTTAGCTGCAGAGTCAGTCGTTGGCATTTCATACCAAGCTTTATATGTGGAAAATCTCAAACCTGAAATCTTGAGAATCGGAAAATTAGTTTTAAACTGAACTTCAGCCATGTTTAAACTTGTGAACTATTATGCTGAATTGCTTTTCTGATTGGTTATAGTGTACACAGGAAATATTAAATGGAAATTTAATGGACTTTCTGACATGAAATACCCTATAATATAGCTACACATAATTTTAACTTATTGATTGAGGATAGCTGGACTGAATATTTTATGATGTATGTCTGGAAAACTGATGAGTCATAATACAATACTTATTTTTATATGAATTATGTGCAAGATGGACATTTGCTAGCATCATCGTTTCAAATTGAATGAAAGTGTGTAAGGATTTGGGTATGAGAGTGTATTTGTTTGCAAGGGATTGAGAAGGGAACCTGAAACATCATTGTACTTAAATTATATATCTTTATATATAGCTATATTTAGTATTCTAAAAATACTTTAAATTTTGTTTGTATATTTTGATTTGTATATTTTAACTATATATATGCAATGTGTAGTGTAGAAAAGCATATGTAAACAATTATTAATGTACATTTAATCTATAACTAATATTCCACTACACCTTCTAGCCGTCAGCTGTCTGGTCTAAATCAATAAGACTTCCTGAGTATTCCACATCTGTGGGGTTTGATACCAAACATGTTGCTCTCATTGCTGTGTTAAAGTAATGAAGAATTATGAACCTATTCTTCCCTGATTACATAAGGAAACAGAATGCCCGAATGAAAGTAAACTAATTAATTTATGTTGAGGTTTATCAAATTGATTTAGTTATTGAGTGATATTGAAATATATACTAAAGAAATTGTTTGTATTTTTGGACTTTGTTGCTAAGCAGACTGAAATTTCAACAAGGAATTTGACAAGAATGTACATGATTGCTTGTGGGTAGTGTGCCGGAGTACAAATTACCAGATCCAATGGCCAAGTATATATTTTCAATCAATCAATTTAGCAAAGTAATCAAATGTTAACATTTTGTTTAAGCTGTCTGATACCTATCTTTGGACACTCACCAAACCTTTCTAGGATATTTCAGGTTTAAGGTTTGATGTATGTAAAAGCAGGGTCCATCTCTATATTTTTCTTCACACAGTTATGATTTGCCATTGATAATGTTTGGAATATAACCATGAGATGTCTGTCTAGCTAACATTATCATTTATGGGGTCATTTCGAGGTATAATTCAATGTACCATGGTACATCTTTGTTACTGCTCTTCCTGTTGTATTCCTGATGGGCCTGGTGGATCCCTCGTGAGCTTTACAAGCCTTGTATACTATTTGTAAGCCTTGAATATCCCAGGTGAGCATGATATGTTTGGTAAGCCTGGTATATCCATGGTGAGCCTTGAGTATCCCTGGTGAGCCTTGAATATCCCTGGTGAGCCTCCATTATCCCTGGTGAGCCTAGGATGTTTGGTAAGCCTGGTATATTTATGGTGAGCATGGAGTTTCCCTGGTGAGCCTCGAGTATCCCTGGTGAGCCTCCATTATCCCTGGTGAGCCTAGGATGTTGGGTAAGCCTGGTATATCCATGGTAAGTCTTGAGTATCCCAGGTGAGCCTCATGTATCCCTGGTGAGCCTCCATTATCCCTGGTGAGCCTAGTATGTTTGGTAAGCCTGGTATATCCATGGTAAGCCTGGAGTATCCCTGCTGCGCCACCTGTACCCTTGTTTAGTTGTGTAAGCATGACGAATTTGGTGTAACCATGGTAACTGCTATGTATCTGTAAGTGAGCCTCTTGTGGCTGGAGGTCATGGTGGTATAACAAGTGTTCCTTTTGTGTTCAGAACACCAGTGTATGTTCAGATTGTTGATTTTAGTCTTTATTGACTGTTTAAACCATCTATGTCGACTCCAGACTTGTGTAAGTATCTACCAGAGGTAATATTACCCCACTATGTAACTATGGTAAAAGTGTTTCGCCCCTAGTTTGACACCCATGTGGGCACCGTGCGTCCCTATGCTATATTCAACTCCAACCATTTCCAAACCATCCGTAAATGTTACTTTTGTGGTCCCTTTTTGAAAGAGGATTGTTCCACATTCTGATTCTGCAAATTTGTATAACCTGTGCAATAGATTTATGAGTACCTCTCCATTTTTAGTTTTATGAAATTGGTTTTACAGCGGTGAAAATAAGAAAACTGCATTCTCCTTCATTTGGCGTTTGATGATTTACACACTATCTGTGGCATACACAATGTTTTATCTAAATTTTTCACATATTGAGTAATTTCCAAATATGTTCCGAGTACATGTAATAATATGTAAAAATGAATAATTTTGAAAATTCAACTAAGTGATTTGGAAAAAAAAGTAAGTTTTTAAAACTGCTGGCGTGCTGGTCGATAAACCATCCTTACATATTACTGATATTCCAAAGATCTAGGTACCGGTTTTGCTAAAAGTGGGTCTTGTGTAAATGGTTATACCTTTGTCCAAGATGGTTCCCCTTTAAGATGACGTTGTTGTCATTACTGCCATTCTTGACACTAATGCGGACGGACAGTCATTTTACCAAATACTACCCCCAGGTAAAGTTCAGGTATGAAGCAATTAAAATTGCCTTTGTTGGCAGTTTATTGTGTTTTCAGTGTGGTCATTATTCACGATGACCATCCTACTTATCACAATTTAAAACTCCATCACGAGAGTTCATCGGACACTTGTTTAAATACAAGAATTTTATGACAAGGAGAAGATAGATTGTATTATTTTGAAGACAAAATTCTCATTTCTGTTCTTGTATTATTGAAATTAATGTTTTTGTAGTTTTTGATTTAAGGTTATTTAAAAGGTGGACCTATATTTTTTACTTTGCATGGTATAACCAAATCGCCTATAGATGTATCAATGACTGATACGTTCTGCAGGTTTGTCTTTAGCAATGTTGATGTCGACTGGTGACCTGGGCTTTGTTCAGTATTTACATGTCATCTAGGTTTGACGTGTATCGGATGTAGGTGACCTGTACTCTTTTACAGCGTGCAGTTTCCGTTGTTTGACGTATGTCAGATTGCAATTGGTGACCTGCACCTCCTCCAGTACTGGGTATTAAATGCCCTTGTTCTTGCTATTTCCATGTATTGTTGGATATGTTATGTTTTAAGAAAATCATTTACAATTGGAACTTGTTTTATATATCTGGCGATCGTTCTGAATTCCTACGAGCTGAAGTATTACAGAGGCCAAACAGCTTTGATATTATTTAACCGCATGTTTGTAACATTCCTGGGCCTGGCTGTATGTCCAGCCCTTGACGCTGTGATTGTTTAGTAGTCAATCAATATACGTATTACAACTCAAATATCTATCAAAATTGGAATCAAAATCAACAGGATTATGTTTGGAAAACATTTTGTTTTTTGCTTTTTCAATGTAATATGACTTTTAGAATGTATTTCTTGTATCTTATTTTCCCACCATATTAAAATCAAATTATTTACCATTCATACAACATTAATTCATTTTATTGTTTTATTGTGATTTTATAGATTGCTTTAATCAATGTTTATAATATTTCAGTAGTTTGTAGAAGTTATAATTTTCTCGATGTATACTACAATGTTAGACATTTTTATATCAATCTGTTTTATGAAACTAATGACATTTTCTCTTTATTGACCGGAAGCATTTATTGCATGAACTAGGTTTTGGAATGATAACCCATAAATTTGAAGCAAAAAAAAACATAATTTATCAAACGAATACTAGTATGTTATGACAGTTATGGTAATAATTTGTAAGAAACATTAAATTTATACCATCGGCATTGTTTTGATGAAGCATATTTTTCTTCATATTTTAAAACAATTTCTATCTGCATGTTATAGTGGTGTTTAGAGAACACCTAGACAATGCCATACAACAGCTACACAAACGCAATCTAATCGAAATTATATCTTCACATCGCTCCCGTCTACTGATATGTCGCGTTATATCCGAAAACGGGAGCTATGTGAAGATATAATTTCAATAAGATTGACACAAACGTCACAAATGTGATCATTATAGGATAACTCGTTCTTAGTATCAAATTAATCCGAAAATCATGATGCTAGTATTTCTGTTATCTTTTTCGAGAAAAAGTTTTACCCAGTTAAATGTGTGATGATAGTTTTCCTTGTTAGTATATGTATGTGTCAGTGCTTTAAGCGGTGGGCGGGGCTAGTCTGTGTGCCATGTTTTGATGTGCTCATTCACGTGTAGGGTCTGCATGGTCTACGCCAATATACCAAGTCACTTGATTTAAGTTGATCACGGAAAATTGTTAGTTAATGCACTATATGTGTCTGTTGTCTTGGTACATGAACTTAGATCTTGGTCAGATTTTAAATTCTGTGCCAGAACGTTTGATCCATTCGGCACAACAATTAAAGTTACACGTTGGATTGTAATATTTATATATTTTTTAATACTAATAGAAAGGTACACAAGGTAACATTGAATGAATTCGATCTGAACTTTTTTCAGGACTTGTATTTGAAATTATATTTACTTAAATGTTTCGTACGTTTTTTAGTTTTTAGTTATCATTTTATTATATACAAACATATATACTTTATAGACTGTACCCGGCACAGGCCATAGGCAGATTTACTTGTCGACCATACGGGGTACATGCATTTCATGTATTACATGGACGTTAATTTATTTAAAGAATCGCATGATTCACACTGTAACGTGAACTATTATATATCATTGTCGGCCATGTTATCACGTGACTTTGTCTTATTGTCGTATTCTAATTTTGAGATTGAAATTATTTAAAAAAACCAAATCTAAAGTAGTAATTTACAAAACGGACACTTGGTATTTATCCAAAGAATGATGTAGCAAACGAGAGTGAATGACCTAGGTCTGTGTATATAAAGGTGTTGGCAATAGTTAGGTAGGCCACACACCAGTGCCAACCTAGTCGGGTGTTATTGCGGCAAGGCCCCATATAATGCACTAGGTGTCTTGATTTTTATTTATTTTAAGCATAAATATTGTTTAAGTGGCAAGATGAATACAAGGTTTTAACACGAAATTGGGTTTGTCTCATCAAATACCGCTAAACAATGAGACGCATACCAATCCAGATTGTTTAATCACGGACTTAGATAATCTAATTCCGTGGTTTAATCAAATATTAGAAGGATAAATCACACGAAACTATAATAAATAAATAATTGTAACAAAAGTTGATTTTCTAGAAAATATTGGGAAATGGTTAATATTCCGTGTGTATAACTTAATGAGTTATTGCTTCCTACAACCATTGTTTCAGAAGGTTCATGGCCCTTGAATACATGTTAATCGTAATCGATACACGAGCCCGTGACTGCTGTGTCGGATAAACGTCGTTGTTTGTATCGAGATGAGACACCTAGTTGTCGTCCAGTGTGTTTATATGGTTATGGAGTAGAACTATATGCAAGTTTGTACACTTTTTTGAGCTTAGTGTATTCTCATCGTTATTCAAACTTGTTAACACATCATTCATTAAACAGAACATATTCTACACACTGTTTGTGTTATTATTTTCCACATCCTCAAATGTCTCGGTAATTCTGTCAGAGATAGATAATGACGTAGGCAGTATTGCGGTTTATGACAAACAGCATGTTCATAAAGCTAGAAAACATTTTCTTCTATACCAAAACTTATTGCATCAACTAGGATTCTTGCGCAGTAAAGATTTCCACATAATCTGTCCACTAAATGGAGAATTGAAAATGGTGAAGGGGCAGAAAGTGTTACAATTACACCAGATGGAAATTTTCATGAACAATGATTCAAAACACGAATCCCGATTGCTGCCAACCAGAAACAGCGATGGCGATGTACGGTTTACTTTTAATTTGGAAAGATAAATCGTTTCGGTATAAAGAGCGAACAAATGAACAAATTGTCGCTTTGTTTTTAATTTATGATCATACAGACAAATTGTTTACCTTTTTAACAGCTAAAATTTGAAACCTTGTAAAACCGCAATACCGCTGTAAGTAGACATTACAGTGATGCGCTTATCCCTATCTTCATATCGATAAGCAATGGTGAATTGGCACGCGTAAAATGAAGACTTGGGTATCGGTAATTTCTATTTTAGAAGTAACTGTTTTCATTTATTTTTTTTTCAAATTTGTTTTAACTTGAAATCCGTTGTTTTCTCTTGAGACTAAAATTGGTGTCATATACCAAATTGTTTTCCTATTTTACCATATTTCGTAGTACTAACTCTTCTGTATAAGTATGAAAAGAGTGTATACAGCGGTTAAATAACTAAATGTTAAAACAAAACTAAAACTATTTTGCATTTCAAAGATTTTAATGTCATAACACACTTTTCAACAAGAATTTTAATATCGATAAAACAATTACACATGACGGTTTTACTGTATATCTTGAAACTTTCGTTGTGTATTCCTATAGCGATTTTCTCTGACAGAGCCGAGCCTTGGATATCAGTGCAGGGATTTATGTGTAACTTACTGCAATAAATGTAATCACAAGTATTCGTACCGCAACTAACGGGACCGCGATAATAGTACAACAACCACTTGTACAACTCTTCAAATACAGGGGAGACTACTGTATTAGTACTGTAACCAATTGTACAACTCTTCGAGAATAAAAGGGAGACTACTGTTTTAGTACAGTTACCAATTGTACAACTCTTCGATAATACAAGGGAGACTACTGTTTTAGTACAGTTACCAATTGTACAACTCTTTGAGAATACAAGGGAGACTACTGTATTAATACAGCAACCAATTGTACCACTCTTCGAGAATACAAGGGAGACTACTGTATTAATACAACAACCAATTGTACCACTCTTCGAGAATACAAGGGAGACCACTGTATTAGTACAGCAACCAATTGTACCACTCTTCGAGAATACAAGGGAGACTTCTGTATTAGGACAGCAACCAATTGTACAACTCTATGAGAATACAAGGGAGACTACTGTGTTAGTACAGCAACCAATTGTACAACTCTATGAGAATACAAGGGAGACTATTGTATTAGTACAGCAACTAATTGTACCACTCTTCGAGAATACAAGGGAGACCACTGTATTAGTACAGCAACCAATTGTACCACTCTTCGAGAATACAAGGGAGACTTCTGTATTAGTAAAGCAACCAATTGTACAACTCTTCGAGAATACAAGGGAGACCACTGTATTAGTACTGTAACCAATTGTACAACTCTTTGAGAATACAAGGGACACTACTGTATTAGTACAGCAACCAATTGTACCACTCTTCGAGAATACAAGGGAGACCACTGTATTAGTACAGCAACCAATTGTCCAACTCTATGAGAATACAAGGGAGACCACTGTATTAGTACAGCAACCAATATTACCACTCTTCGAGAATACAAGGGAGACTACTGTATAAGTACTGTAACCAATTGTACCACTCTTCGAGAATACAAGGGAGACCATTGTATTAGTACAGCAACCAATTGTACAACTCTTCGATAATACAAGGGAGACTATTGTATTAGTACAGCAACCAATTGTACCACTCTTCGAGAATACAAGGGAGACTACTGTATTAGTACAGCAACCAATTGTACAACTCTTTGATAATACAATGGAGACTACTGTATAAGTACTGTAACCAATTGTACAACTCTTCGATAATACTAGGGAGACCACTGTATTAGTACAGCAACCAATTGTACAACTCTTTGATAATACAATGGAGACTACTGTATAAGTACTGTAACCAATTGTACAACTCTTCGATAATACAAGGGAGACCACTGTATTAGTACAGCAACCAATTGTACAACTCTTTGAGAATACAAGGGACACTACTGTATTAGTACAGCAACCAATTGTACAACTCTTCGAGAATACAAGGGAGACTACTGTATTAGTACAGCAACCAATTGTACAACTCTATGAGAATACAGGGGAGACCACTGTATTAGTACAGCAACTAATTGTACAACTCTTCGAGAATACAAGGGAGACTACTGTATTAGTACAGCAACCAATTGTACAACTCTTTGAGAATACAAGGGAGACCACTGTATTAGTACAACAACCAATTGTACAACTCTTCGAGAATACAAGGGAGACCACTGTATTAATACAGCAACCAATTGTACCACTCTTTGAGAATATAGGGGAGACCACTGTATTAATACAACAACCAAGTGTACCACTCTTCGAGAATACAAGGGAGACTACTGTATTAGTACAACAACCAATTGTACCACTCTTTGAAAATACAGGGGAGACCACTGTATTAATACAACAACCAATTGTACCACTCTTCGAGAATACAAGGGAGACTACTGTATTAGTACAACAACCAATTGTACAACTCTTCGAGAATACAAGGGAGACCACTGTATTAGTACAGCAACCAATTGTACAACTCTTCGAGGTTACAATGTATTAGTGGAAGTTCGTTATTTTGTAATCGTGAAACCTTCGAATGTTTCATGGTACACGGTAGCTAACGTGATGTTACGAAAATAATTAAAGAAGCAGTTCAAACAGCATTAACGTTCAAATAAAAAACCGACATGTGCATTGATGTTTCATTAGCTTGGAAACTTGTGCCCAATCACTTTGCTTAGAAAAATGACTATACATTACGTTTAAAGTAAAATATATCCAACATTGTTCACAATATATTATCAGCAATATTTGCGCTCTGTTCATTCCGTTTTCCATCTATTTAATTCAACTGCATGACATAGTTGGATCATAGATTTTGTAAAGCAAACTTATAAACATTTTCCAGCTAAATGTTGTCTCCCTTATTTTAACAATTATATGGTATGATAATTAAACATAAAGAATACCACCAACCGATCAAAAGGATGGAATCTCAACTACTAAGTCATCAAGTCATATGCCATAGAGACTATCCTGTTCACTTTACACGGAATCGAACGTCTTCTCATGTAACGACGATTCGATTTCAAGGTTTAGTAACTTGAGCTGATTTCTCAGATGTTACAAAGCGCAATGGATACCCTTCCATTTGCCAATCATTAAGTTATTTATCGAACGGACGGATTGGGAACAAAAATACTATCAAAAAAGCGTAGACGTATATGGTTTATCCAAGTAAGTAACATGTGGATGGGCCGAATAATAAAACAAGCTACATATGTGATTATTTGTAAATGGACGGAGGAAAAAATATGCAAACAATGCACATAACAACACCTTCATCTTTTTGATTCCAAAAAAAACAAAATAAAAAATCAAATAACTGAAAAAATTCTTGAACACTTCCATTTCTATACACTACATTACTGGCGTTTTACAAGATAAAGGACGGAAACTGAACACTGCGTTATAAAGTTCTTATAAAAACCAACACAGATATTTTCTTTTCTTCAAATATATTCGTTTGTATACGAATTATATATAGAGGATCCCAAACTAGTCTTTTCCATAGAGTGAGTTTAAACGCAAATGTATTATGTGTACCATGTAAGATGTACATCACGACAGTGCGGACTATAGAAAATTACAGTGTTTGAGGCATTCCACCTTTTATTATAACACAAACACTTAACAATAACATACCACCAACTATACAAGGCAAGGGACAATGACAATGTGCTATGTTATGATATAAATAACACTTCTAAATATCGAAATATAACGCTTTGTTGAAGCATATTCTTATACATTATAACAACATTGCGATTTCTCCCAAGACATTAAGGACAGAACACTTTAACGTAAGTCTCACGCAGTACAGCACTATCATCTAAGACTTATTAGTAATCTATTTCCAAAAGATTTTAACTTTACCTTGATTTCGCTTTAAAACAAATCAATAAATAGTCCATATTTTCTTGATTCAATTCATGGAAAAAACAAAACAGAAAAAAAGTTGAGTGATGAAAATCTACACATACTTTATGTAAATTATTTCGAATGTTAAATGAAATGTTACCATAATGGAAGTAAAGCAACAACATCTGATTGAAAGTTTAGTTTTAAGACAATGTTTAAAAAAAAAAGTCATGGCATGTAAATAAAAATCCTGTTGATTAGGTACAAAATGAAAATTAAGATCATAGTGTATTAAAACATCAATCATGGCGACAAATGATTGAATATAATATGCGTATGACATTATCTATCGTTTAACGATTGTCAAACTGATGTCACGGTATTTGATTATGCTTTAAATTCTCAAAAAGAAAACATTATTACACCTTTCTAACGATTTTTTTTCTCTCAATTAGACGACATATATGACACTATATTTATCAATAAAAAAAGACAAAACATATTTGACACTATATTTAACAATAAAAAAGATAAAAACAATTTTTATAATCAAAATACATGGAATAATATAGCATGACTTCTGTTTCATGCCATGAGAATAATGGATAACTTTAAATAACAAAATTNAAAAAAAAAAAAAAAAAAAAAAAAAAAAAAAAAAAAAAGATATTTTTTCAAATATTTTCACATATATACCAAACATACATCACATATTTATATCATTATTCAAAACAATTTTATTGATATCAAGTTAACTTCAGTTTAGAAACAAAACACAGCTAGCTCGAAAACAGTTTTTGTTGATAGATCTGTATTGACTCACCGAGTAAACTGATGATTCTCTAGGTAAGGTAGGTAAGTATTTTTGCCCCTGTTGATGGCGGATTGAGTATAAGAAAATTATTGTTTATTTTGAAAATCACACCATAGCTTTATTCCCAGGTCCATTGAAACATAAACCGCGTATTTTGAAAATACAAAATCGTGCTAAATCTATTACTATCTGCGAATTCTTTTGTATACCAAATATTGGGTTGCTTATCAGAATTTAGATACATACATTATCAACGAATCATCGTTCAATACGTGATAAAAATCAGACAAATTGATTCTCTTTGCAAGCGCGTGTCGACAGATTTCTGTTACTAGGTGACAAAATATATCTCTGGTAACGTTACCGATTTTTCTCAATGATGAAATACCGGCCGTTTCACATCCACAACTAACAAGTTGAACACTTTGACAGATACAGATGATCAGCTTTTTCAGTAACTTTAATGTCGCAGTAAACGAATTTGAAAAATGGTGAACTTCGAAGCCAAAACTAAATCTTAAAAACTGCAAACGCTAGGATTGTTTTAAGTGCTATCCAAATTTCATCTTAGGGTAATTATTGCGAAATCATATATTATGCATTGATGACAACTAATTGATCGCTATAACGCTGATTCTTAGTCCAAAGTAATAGAACGTTTACATAATTCATGATTATATTAAATATACAAAACCAAACCAGAGAAAACCACAAAGACAATAGTAATATGGTTCTGACTGTCAGAATGACACAGCTTTCTTTAACTCTACAATGATAAACTCCATTTCCCTCTAGTCGCCTTTTACTCTCTTACATCAGGCTCATTCCTTTCTCGCCTTACAAAACCCTCCTTACCCTCTATCATCGGCGCACTGCCCCCCTCCCCCCCCCCCCCCCCCCCCCCCCCATTTATAATTATGAGCCCCTAGCCTCAAAAAGCAAATGTCTTCATCATTAATAAAGAAACTATTTGATACAACACCGAACCCTTGAAAAACTACAAAGACTAATGGAACTACGATTCAGACTGGCAGAACGACACAGTTCAGACCTCCACTGTGATAATTGAAAGTGAAAGCCAACTTTTTTATTGACGATCTGTGTGATACAAGTCCCTTCAACTCCCATCGTTTAGCCTCCTGCGAAACTTTCCCTTCCCTTTCGCCCTTCGAAGACAGTCAAACAAACAAACTCACACCCTTATACCCTTTTCAATCAAACGCTTCCTTTTTTTCTCTCTTACAAAGTCTCCCTTACCCTCTCACATCTTTATAGATTGACTTCCACTGACCCTCCCTACCTTAAAACTTAATAAATACTCTTGCCCTCAGATAACAAAATCGTCCTTTTGTTTCTCTTATAACAAACTCAATTCTATCGCTAATTACAAGAAGTTTAATCCCCACATTCTCTTCCGACAAACTCCCCCATTCACCCGTTTACGTCAAACTCAATACCTTTGCCTCATTACAACAAATTAATCAACTTGCCATTCTGGCATTAGACACGCTCGACGCGTTATTAAAAAGGCTCGTTTTCCTTACACGCCTTAATCTCTAAAAAATACCTTACTTCAATCGCCTCTATTTCTTGCAATATTATAAAACTCTCAACACACTAACTAGATGCAATCACTTATTCCAAAAATACATACATTCTGCTTGCCTTCTTACGACAAACTAATTTCCTCCACTCTCTTTACTAAACACATACTCTTGGCCTCTTATAAAAACATTTTTTACAAAAAAAACCTATTACCTCGTTCTCTTGCAACAACATTTTTCACCTCCCTCTAATGACAAACTTACTTCGTTCTCGTACAGAAAATGCACTTATTTCACTTTCAACAAACCACAACCACAAACTTCACCAACCTCGCTCCCTTTCAGAACACTCACTTAACTCGCTCTTTTACAACAAACTGGTTTACCCCGCTCTCTTACCACAAACTCCACTAACCCCGCTCCCTTACAGCAAACTATACTTAACTCGCTCTCTTGCAGAAAACTCACTTAACTGGCTCTCTTACAACAAACTCATTCACCTCACTCTCTAACAACAAACTTTTTTCCCTTTCAATACGACGACACGCTCAATCCATCATGTGACAAGATCACTACCTTCCTGCGTCGATGATAAAAGTCCTCTTGCTCACAAAAATGAATCACTCCTCGTCCTCCGATGTATCTCCGCCCTTGTCGCGCTGCTCCTCTAATCCCTGACTCGACATCCGTTCGGCAATTCGCTCTTTACCGATGGCTATCAATGCATTCTTTAGCTGGTCCGCCTGATGGCTACCCGGCAGCTTTAGTCGCCATTTGCGAATAAAGGCAAAGGCGAGGTCGGTGTCAGAGGTCTGTTCCCGAATCTCATTCATTACATCTGCCTTGATTCCTAGCTGCGATCCTAATTGTAGGGCTTCTTCTGTCGACAGCTCCTTCATTGTCTCGCGCAGATTCTTCCACTTCAAGGCAGGGATAATACCTGCAATGTCATGTTGGTTACATATGCCAATTAATTGCATTTTACCAGTGAAATATACGACAGAGTTCTATGACACACACAATTTCCTACATCTTCATTGGTTGTATCGCAATCTTGACTTTGCGTTACTTGTTTAAGAAACAGAGGGTCAATGTTCATATTTGCAAATGCAGTACATTTCTTCGTACACTTTTCATACGTTTCATCTTGTTAAGTGATTAAAACATTATTATTTAGTTTGCCAGACTGATGCTTAAAATTGTTTCGAGATATTTCTAAAAACATCCAAATGAAAACCTCCCCCGGTACAAACACCGACTAGATTTGATACTTTTAATTAAATTTTACGAATGAAAATACACTCACATTTGTCTTTTCGTTCGAACTCATCCATTGTGTTTGATTCATCATCTTCATCGACTGAATCTGTAATGACAGAGATAACAAGCTTAATAAAACATCAATGTGGAGTGTGTTCAGTTATAGCATGTGGATCAATAAAAAATATTAACACATGCGATGTATTTGGTCGTTACCAGTCGTTTCCATGCTTCTTTCTAATTTTAGAATAATACTTTGTTATATTTGAACACATAATAGTTTCGGAGTTAAAAATTGTTAAAAGTAAGCGAAACACTATTGATGGATGTAATGTTATACGTTAGTGACATATCCTCAGCTAACCACATGTCGTTTGGTTTTTTAACTACATTTACACTTCTGAGCCGGCCGCAATTTTAATGGTTTCGCAACTGAGGATGTTATGATAATGTCTGTGAGTGTTTGTTTCAACCAGCCTCATGTTGAATGATATCGTTACCATGGATACTAAGTGTGTGACCTTACCCAATCTAGCCAGCCTCACGTTGAATGGTACAGTTACCATGGATGCTGTCCTTGTGTCGTAATCTTTGGATTTAACCTTTACTGTCTTCATAGATTTGAAGCAGAGACTACCGACCGGTCTCACTTCCTCGACCTCGGAGTAAAACTTGTTCACTGTAAGTATCTCCACTGAACCGTTCAGTTCATGAATGTCAGCGTCAGTGCTCATAATATCAAAGGACCTGGTACTAGCAGTGTCGCTGCTCTTGAAAAGTATCGTCATATTTTCATCACTAGTGGTCTCCTTTACAGCGCCTTGGAAAAGTACCTGGAGTAAACAAGAATAAATACTACCGTCAATCTGATAGCATTACATGTACCGGATGAGGTGTCTAGCTGTTTGACTAACAAGCGCTCAGCTCGAAAATGTTATCACGGAATGACTTGTATGGTTTCTTTCAGATTATACAATATGAACTTAACCTGTGATAACGACAGTGTTATTTTATTGACTTTCTTAGTTTCTTATATAGATGTCCAGTGTTGAAATATCTGGTGTTGTTCTCCATGTACTTTAAACAAAATAGGTATTTGTGTAAGGTTTTTTTATTTACAATTTGCGCAAGCTCCGTAAATTTTGAATCGGAATTACGAATTAGACATTCACTTCGGTATTCTCTATATTCTTTCTTTTGTTGATTTTTTTGCAGTAGTCTGCACTGAAGAGCGAGTGTACGAATAAACACCGATGGTTTCGTAAAGCACCGGCTAATCCTGAACGCAAACGATTGTGATAGTCAGTGGAGTGCAGTTTTAATGCATTACCTGGAAGCACTGTCCCTCCGGAACCTCGAATAAGTCCTTCCCAGAATCAAAACACTCATATGTCCGTTTTAACTTTTTCCTGGCCAATTTGGTTTTACGTTGTGTACCGCATATTATGATCATATCAGTTTTGGTTGTATTTGGCTGTGGTTTGTTTACCATCACCAAGAAATGAATTTTCCTCATTTTTAGGTAGGATTGTCGAATCGCACCCTCTACAGATTTTTTATCTTCAATAACTTTCATCTTTGCAGCTCCCGCAAATCTATAACATAATTGGAATATATAAATATATACTGTTGTAATCTTACTGATGCAGTTGTCAAATACTATTGAACTTCTTGTCCAGGGTGACTGAAAATTAGTCATATGTTTCTAATTAAATATTTCCCCTGATTGTTTATATATTATTGATGTTGTTGTTTAAGATTAAATAAATTCTTTGTAAATTGCAACATTAAAAACGGAATAATCGATATTTAGTCTTGCATTAACCTATGGTTGTCTTTATTTCTATAAAAATCATGTAAATTCAATTGTATTATTATTTAAATGAAATTTTACATTGAAGGTTTCATAAATCAGCAGAGAAGCTAAATTACATTGAAAAGTGACTTATGGTGAACACAGCCTTGCCAGCGCCATCTATTTCTGCAGGGATACTTTCCCACGTCCATTCATCCAGATTTGGGTCCGGATCTGATGTCGTCAGCACGACAAATCCTTCCGATTGGTCTTCAGTCTTCACTGGTATTTTCATCTGAATGTCGTTGCTCGGTTGTTGACCATCAGTGGTCGTGAGGTCAAGGACGCTCGTCATCAACAATGGACCTTCTGAAGATTGTCCTGCCTCTTCGCTTTCCTTGAATTCCTCATTTGCTTCAGAGGTATCAACAAACTGAAAGTGTGATATTCCTTTTCATTAATTTGAACTTCGTTACCTTGAATTTATAATATTATCACGATTTTCGAAAATTGGTATAATCAATCAAAGCACTTTCGTTTCGATCTAAGTTGGTCTGACAAGAATGATTTACTTTTGAATTGATAACTTGATAACCGGATAAGATTAGATAAGAGGGGTGGTGGGTGGTGGGGTTG